CACCAATCCCTGCTCACCAACGTCAACCCCCCACCAATCACTTACCTCTAATTCCACTTATTGCTTTCCTCCACCAATCACTTTTCTTCAACTCCATCTCCAATCATCACTTCTGTCCAACTCCTCCAATCACGTTTGTCTAACTTCATCTCCACCAATCACTTTTCTCCACCCCCACCAATCACATTTCTCAAACTCCGCCATCCACCAATCCCTTTTCTTCATCTCCTCCAATAATCACGTCTGTCCAAGCTCCACTTTCCCCCAATCATGTTCTTTCCAAACTCCGCCCTCCACCAATCAACTCCTCCAATAACCGCATCTGTCCAACTCCCCCACCAATCATAGTCTTTCAAACTCCGCCCTCCACCAATCAACTCCTCCAATAACCGCATCTGTCCAACTCCCCAACCAATCATTCCCCTCCAACTCCGCCCCCATTCCTCAAACGCCCACACGCATTAGACAGCAGGCCCGTCCTTCTAGGCGCCCCGTTACCCGTTTTGTATGATCCCAATCACATTTATATCGTTTATGGTGGAGGAATCATTCACAGAACCCTCGGCACGTATGACTTGCACTTTTCTCAGGGGGCGTACTACAACAACGGGCGAACGCTCACGTGTATCTCTCGACCGTGCGCACGCGCGTCACACGAGGACACCCACCGGAAACCTCAGCTGGGTGTAGTAAGGTGGCCGCCGCCGCGCTTTGCCTATTGGTTAGTCATAGAAGGAGGGGGCGGCGCTACCTGGAGGTGGCGGCAGAGGGCGCTCTGTAGAGGAAGGTGACGTGTCTCATCCGTACAGAACGGAACAGACGCTACGGAGCTGAGAGAGGCGCTGTATAAAAGCCGGACACCGGGGGGAGGTAATACTGGGAGCTATGGAGGGGGAGAGGTAATAATACTGGGAGCTATGGAGGGGGAGAGGTAATAACGCCTCTTGGTGTCTGCAGGGGCTGGTTCCCGGGCTCGGGGGGGGGGGGGGGTTGTGGGTGAGGGGGCCCCCCAATAATGTCGGCCTGTGGTGTTCTGGGGGGACATATAGAGATATATATTTTATTTATATATATATATATAGGCAGTGTCCTGATCAATGGAGGTGTCTACAGAGCACTTCCGGGTTGGTGCCTGGCACCCCCTCCTATAGGTGTGTATGTACAGGTGTCAGCCCTGCCCCCTATGACAGGGCCTCTTTACTGCAAGCTGTAATAACAGCTACACTTTACTGAGCTTGAAGGCAAAAACCCACCATATCCCCTCCCCCTCCAGAGGATCCCCCCCCCCCCCTCTTCCTGACCAGGCCATATTTTGCATTTTGGCGCTGCGTTACTTTAACTGACAATTGCGCGGTCATGCAACGCTGCACCCAAATGAAATTTACGTCATTTTAACCTCACAGATAGATCTTTCTTTCGGTGGTGTTTGACCTCCTCTGCGTTTTGTATTTTTTGTGGTATAAAAAAAAAAGGCCGACAATTTTGAGAAAAAAAACAATATTTTTGACTTTTTGCTATTAAACATATCCAGTAAAAAAAAATTAAAAAATCAAATTTCATCAAAAATTTAGGCCAAAATGTATTCTAAAAAAAAAAAAAAAAAATCCCAATACGTGTAAATGAATTGGTTTCCGTGAAAGTTATAGCGTTTACAAATGGCGGTATAGATACTGTTTTTTTTAATATTTTTTACTTGTAATGGCAGCAATCAGCGACTTATAGCGGGACTACGGTGGATTTTCTGCGGGGGAACTGACTTGGTGTCACTGAGATCCCCAGTGACACCAATACAGTGATCAGTGCTAATAAAAAGCACCACACTGTACTAATGGCACTGGGCAGAAAGGGGTTAACATCTGGGGCGACCAAAGGGTTAACTGTGTGCTGTTTGACAACATGGTCTCTGTGCTTCACTGTAATCGCACTGCTTTGGATGGCTGTGCTGTGCAGAGCCGTGTGCAGGAGCTGACAGGGGAGAGAACTGTGTTGTTTACTATCAGTTCTCCTCCCTATTGGAGGTCCTCAGCAATCACTGGGTGCCGGCGAGTAATCACCATCCGGGACCCGGTGATTGACAACCTCGGCCACGCCTCCCCTACCCAGAAATGAATAATCACGTATATACAGGGGTGGACTGACCATTTGGACCCGGGGTCAGTAGGGGGCCCCATGAGATGCCCCTGGTACCTTTTTCATAGGCTTTTTTGAGTTTGGGCAAGGACACAGGGGCCCCATGATCCCCTATTGCCCGGGGGCCCCATGAGTTGTCAGTCCGACCCTGATATTTATTTTTTTTCCCCGTCGTTTCGTACACCATAGACTGAGGAATCACAGCTGGCTCTGCTGTACATGTACGAGATCACGCTCTGCTGTGGGACTAGTCCTGCGGCCTCCTGGGATGTGCGACGTGTCACAGGAGGCTGCTAGCGTGTGAGGGGGGGTGGGGTTGTGCTTATGCATGCATCGTTCTTGTCTAGGTGAGGAAGTGGGGGCTTGTACCTGTCAAAAAAAAAAAAAGGTTAACAAAAGTACATCTTGAGTGGAGGTGGGGAGTGGGGGAATAGCGGCACTTTCATGTTTGAGTGAAGGTCCACTTTAAGGACTTTTCAGATATTTATTTGTAAACCGTGTTGAAAACTATTTAACATTTTCCACAATTATCTGCCACTTTGTGTTGGTCTATCACATAAAATCCCAACAAAAGGGGTCAGGAAGACGTTTGCAAGGCGCTGTATTCAGAGGTGCTGCGGTGTTTGTTCCAACAAGGGTTGTGGAATCGGTGGTGCACTTCCATTATGTGCGATGACATCACCTGGCTCCCCCCCAAATGCGTTGCATCATTGATCTTTCGACTTCATCAGGGGGTGGCTTCATCCGATTTTTATGGGATGGAGCCTTAGGTTTTGTCCTATCAGTATTCAGTGGGGTTGCAGTGTTGTTCCAACAAGGGTTGTGGAATCGGTGGTGCGCTTCCAGTATGTGCGATGACATCACCTGGCTCTGTCCCGTGCGTTGCATCATTAATCTCACGACTTCATCAGGGGGTGGCTTCATCAGATTTCTGGGATAAAGCCCTAAGTTTTGTCCTATCAGTATTCAGTGGGGTTATGGTGTTGTTCCAACAAGGGTTGTGGAATCGGTGGTGCCCTTCCAGTATGTGTGATGACATCACCTGGCTCCCCCCCAATGCGTTGCATCATTGATCTTTCGACTTCATCAGGGGTGGCTTCATCAGATTTATGGGATGGAGCCTTAGGTTTTGTCCTATCAGTATTCAGTGGGGTTGCGGTGTTGTTCCATCAAGGGTTGTGGAATCGGTGGTGCACTTCCAGTATGTGCGATGACATCACCTGGCTCCGCCCAATGCGTGGAATCATTGATCTTTTGACTTCATCAGGTGATAGCTTCATCAGATTTATGGGATGGAGCCTTAGGTTTTGTCCTAGCAGTATTCAGTGGGGTTGCGGTGTTGTTCAAACAAGGGTTGTGGAATCGGTGGTGCACTTCCAGTATGTGCGATGACATCACTTGGCTCCGCCCAATGCGTTGCATCATTATTATTATTATTACATCGAGTTTATATAGCGCCAAAGGGTTTGCTCAGCGCTGTACAATAGAGGGGGGGACAATACATGGCACAGTACAACAATCACAAACAACGTACGAGGGGTTTATAGGGCCCTACTCTTTCGAGCTTACAATCTAGGAGGGAGGGGGTAATGGTACAGTAGGAAGTGGCTGAGGGGAATGAGGGGTGGGAGGAAAGAGGGGAGAATGGCCATTAGGTGAGGGTGGGGTAGGCTTCCCTGAAGAGATGGGTTTTGAGGGAGCGCCTGAATGTGAGGAGGGAAGGCGACAGTCTGATGGATTGGGGCAGTGAGTTCCAGAGGATGGGGGAGGACCTGGAGAAGTCTTGCAGTCGTGCATGGGAGGAGGAGACCAGGGAGCAGGATAGAAGGAGGTCCTGTGAGGAGCGAAGGGTACGGGTAGGGCGGTACTTGGGGATCAGGTTGGTGAGGTAGTCAGGGGCAGTGTTGTGAACGGCTTTGTAGGTCAGGGTTAGAAGTTTAAATTTGATGCGTCATGGATCTTTCGACTTCATCAGGGTGTGGCTTTATCAGATTTATGGGATGGAGCCTTAGGTTTTGTCCTATCAGTATTCAGTGGGGTTGCGGTGTTGTTCAAACAAGGGTGTGGAATCCCGGTGGTGCACTTCCAGTATGTGTGATGACATCACCTGGCTCCCAATGCGTTGCATCATTGATCTTTTGTTCATCAAACAAGGGTTTAGTGTCCTATCAATTGTGGGGTTGGTGTTGTTCAAACAAGGGTTGTGGAATCACTTCCAGTATGTGCGATGACATCACCTGGCTCCGCCCAGTGCGTTGCATAATTAATCTCACGACTTCATCAGGTGATAGCTTCATCAGATTTCTGGGATAAAGCCCTAGGTTTTGTCCTATCAGTATTCCGTTGTTTGAACAAGGTTTGTAGATTCTGGTCTAGCATCTTCTATACACCAATAGATTTCCACATATTTCCCTGCATGATATAACTAGGAAGAGAATAAAGGCCTACACCACACGTTGTTATTCCAGATACAAATGTATTGCAGTGTAAGATCGACTAGAGCCATTGCCTTTCAGGAGCCAGACCGCCCCTTCATCAAGGCTTGTATGTAGACTGGGCTGGCTCTATGTACTAGTTTGCCCAGTTAACGTTTGAAGCACTTCACAAGTACAAAAGTCATCGTCCGCAGCTGGCTGGAAAAAATTTGTATCTGGTGTGTTTGCGATATGGTGCTTCAGTCTTGGATCCTTTTTTATTTATTTTATGAATAGTGTATGTTGAAGTCACAAAATCGTCAACTGCAGTGTCTGTCGGGTGGCACTGAAAGGAGCAGAGGAGGTGATGCACAGCAGAGGGGTCTCTGGAGATGGTTACACAAGGGTGGTGGGTTTGTGCAGAATGGACTGATGACGTGTTTCTGTCTCTGTAGGATGATCACAGACGTGCAGCTCGCCATCTTCGCCAACATGCTGGGGGTCTCCCTCTTCCTGCTGGTCGTCTTGTATCACTACGTGGCTGTCAATAACCCAAGAAGCAGGAATGACGAGGGGCCCGGTGTCAGGATGCTGAATCGGGTAAGATGTGTGTGTATACGTTGTGTTGGTGGCAGACTTGTCTGAGAGCATTCACAAAGGATCGCAGGACAGCTACTGTATGAAGAGTCCATTCAAAAAAAAAAAATGAACATTTTGTGTGTGTGTGTGTGTGTGTGTGTGTGTGTGGTGTGTGTGTGTGTGTGTGTGTGTGTGTGTGTGTGTGTTGTGTGGTGTGTGTGTGTGTGTGTGTGTGTGTGTGTGTGTGTGTGTGTGTGTGTGTGTGTGTGTGTGTGTGAGTGTGTGTGTGTGTGTGTGTGTACAGTGGGGCAAAAAAGTATTTAGTCAGCCACCAAATTTGTGCAAGTTCTCCCACTTAAAAAAAAGATGAGAGAGGCCTGTAATTGGCATCATAGGTAGACCTCAACTATGAGAGACAAAATTGAGGAAAACAATTTATTTGCAAATTATGGTGGAAAATAAGTATTTGGTCAATATGAAAAGTTCATCTCAATACTTTGTTATATATCCTTTGTTGGCAATTTGACAGAGGTCAAACGTTTCCTGTAAGTCTTCACAAGGTTGGCACACACACTGTTGCTGGTATGTTGGCCCATCCTCCATGCAGATCTCCTCTAGAGCAGTGATGTTTTGGGGCTGTCGCTGGGCAACACAGACTTTCAACTCCCTCCAAAGGTTTTTCTATGGGGTTGAGATTGGAGACTGGGCTAGGCCACTCCAGGACCTTGAAATGCTTCTTACGAAGCCACTCCTTCGTTGCCGTTGGGCGGTATGTTTGGGATCATTGTCATGTTGGAAGACCCCAGCCCACGTTTCATCTTTTTTTCAATGTCCTTTGCTGATGGAAGGAGGTTTGCACTCAAAATCTCACGATACATGGCCCCATTTCATACCTGTCCTGTACATGGATCAGTCGTCCTGGTCCCTTTGCGGAGAAACAGCCCCAAAGCATGATTGTTGCCACCCCCATGCTTCACAGTAGGTATTGTGTTTTTTTGGATGCACAACTCTCAGCATTCTCTCTCCTCCAAACACGGGCGAGTTGTGTTTCTCTACCAAACAGTTCTATTTTTGGTTTCATCTGACATATGACATTCTCCCAATCCTCTTCTGGATCATCCAAATGCTCTCTAGCAAACTTCAGACGGGCCCGGACATGTACTGGCTTAAGCAGGGGGACACGTCTGGCCCTGCAGGATCTGAGTCCCTGGCGGCGTATGTGTTACTTGATGGTAGGTCCTTTGTTAAGTTGGTCTCAGCTCTCTGCAGGTCATTTCACTAGGCCCCCCCGTGTGGTCCTGGGATTTTTTGCTTACCTTTCTTGTGATCATTTTGACCCCACGGGTGAGATCTTGCGTGGAGCCCCAGATACGAGGGGAGATTAGTGGTCTTGTATGTCTTCCCATTTTCTAATTATTGCTCCCACAGTTGATTTGTTCACACCAAGCTGCTTGCCTGTTGCAGATTCAGTCTTCCCAGCCTGTGCAGGTCTACAATTTTGTTTCTGGTGTCCTTGGACAGCTCTTTGGTCTTCACCATAGTGGAGTTTGGAAGTGTGACTCTTTGAGGTTGTGGACAGGTGTCTTTTATACTGAAAACAAGTTCAAACAGGTGCCATTGATACAGGTAATGAGTGCAGGACAGAGGATCCTCTTAAAGAAAGAAGGTACAGGTCTGTGAGAGCCAAGAAATCTTGCTTGTTTGTAGGTGACCAAATTACTTATTTTCCACCATAATTTGCAAATAAATTCTTTCCAAATCAGCCAATGTGATTGTCTGGATTTTTTTTTCTCATTTTGTCTCTCATAGTTGAGGTCTACCTATGATGCCAATTACAGGCCTCCTCTCATCTTTTAAGTGGGTAGACTTGCACAATTGGTGGCTGACTAAATACTTTTTTGCCCCCACTGTGTGTGTATGATATAATATATTATATATGTTGTGTGTGTGTGTGTTGTATGTATGTTATGTATGTATGTATGTTTTTTATGTATGTATATTATGTATGTATGTGTTTTTATATATATTTTATATGATACATGCGCACAAAAAAACTAAACAGATATTTTATTTAAAATATATATATATTTCTATGTATGTATATCATTTTTTTTTTTCTCTTTGCTTGATTTGGAAGGCCATGCATAAAATGTTTAGAACAAAAAAAATTAATTAGCATGTTATGAAGTAAAAGCACATTTTACCACGTTTATACTCTCACCCCCTCCCTTTATGTTCATCTGCATCCCACCCTAAAAAAAAAAAAAAAACCAACCCAAAGTTGTATATTGACGTTTCTGATGCACAGTTATGTTGTGAAATGGTGTTTTTGTTATGAGTGAATTCCAAGGATTGGTAATCTGGAATGACTTTCCCTGTGCCGCCCAATGTGGGACAGTAGGGTGAGGTCTCTGTGCAATGTGCGGAAGACTCACACAGCCATGCCGATTTCAAAAGTGACAGCAGCTGCATGGAGAAGAGCCCCCATGTGCTTTTATAGAGGGAAACTGTAGCCACACTAAGTTAATTAACATGTAATAACATCTCTTTTTCTAGTTGAGAGGGACTTCTCCCAGCGGCAGTTCACCGCTCATTAGAGTGGGTCAGTAGGGGTCCATTTTTGGATGATAGAAGGTCTGAATGTAGCCCAATCTTCTTGGTGGCCATTGAGAGGAATGTATCCAATTGTTTTGTAGTCAGTTGGCAGGGGCCTAGCCCAGTCATTAGTGGGAGGAAGATAGCTCAGTCGTCTTTGGGCAGTGGATGGAAGGTAGCACAGTCCAGTCTTTGGGCAGTGGATGGAAGGTAGCTCAGTTCGCCTTTGGGCAGTGGATGGAAGGTAGCTCAGTCGCCTGTGGGCGGAAGGTAGCTCAGTTCGCCTGTGGGCGGGAAGGTAGCTCAGTCGCCTGTGGGCAGGAAGGTAGCTCAGTCGCCGGTGGTAGCGGAAGGTAGCTCAGTCGCCGGAGTGGGCGGAAGGTAGCTCAGTCGCCGGTGGGCGGAAGGTAGCTCATGGGCGGAAGGTAGCTCAGTCGCCTCGTGGGGGCGGAATGTAGCTCAGGTCGCCGTGGGCGGAATGTAGCATCATGTCGCCGGTGGGCGGAAGGTAGCTCAGTTTTCCGCCGTTGGGCGGAAGGTAGCTCAGTCCGCCGGTGGGCGGAAGGTGAGCTCAGTGCGCGGTGGGCGGAAGGTAGCTCAGTCGCCGGTGGGCGGAAGGTAGCTTCAGATCGCTCAGTCGCCGGTGGGCGGAATGGCGAAGGTAGCTCAGTCGCCGGTTGGGCGGGGATGGAAGGTAGCTCAGTAGACGATCAGTAGCTCAGTCCCGGTGGGCAGCGGGCGGAAGGCGGGCGGAAGGTAGCTCAGTCGTCGGTGGGCAGCGGGCGGAAGGTAGCTCAGTCGTCGGTGGGCAGCGGGCGGAAGGTAGCTCAGTCGTCGGTGGGCAGCGGGCGGAAGGTAGCTCAGTCGTCGGTGGGCAGCGGGCGGAAGGTAGCTCAGTCGTCGGTGGGCGGAAGGTAGCTCAGTCGTCTAGCGGGCGGAAGGTAGCTCAGGTCGTCGGGCGGAAGGTAGCTCAGTCGGGTGGAAGGTAGCTCAGTCGTCTGTGGGCGGAAGGTAGCTCAGTCGTCTATGGGCGGAAGGTAGCTCAGTCGTCGGTGGGCGGAAGGTAGCTCAGTCGTCGGTGGGCAGCGGGCGGAAGGTAGCTCAGTCGTCGGTGGGCAGCGGGCGGAAGGTAGCTCAGTCGTCGGTGGGCAGCGGGCGGAAGGTAGCTCTCAGTCGTCGGTGGGCGGAAGGTAGCTCAGTCGTCTGTGGGCGGAAGCGGGGTGGGCGGAAGGTAGCTCAGTCGCCGGTGGGCGGAAGGTAGCTCAGTCGCCGGTGGGCAGCGGGCGGAAGGTAGCTCAGTCGCCGGTGGGGCGGAAGGTAGCTCAGTCGCCGGGGCAGGGGCGGAAGGTAGCTCAGTCGCCGGTGGGCGGAAGGTAGCTCAGTCGCCGGTGGGCAGCGGGCGGAAGGTAGCTCAGTCGTCTGTGGGCAGTGGCACTTATGTTGCAGGCTGTGTATCTCCTGCCGCTGATTGTGTTGATGGCATAGCCAGGACTATACAAGGCATCATTGAGCAGGGGATCCCTCCACCTCTCCGGTGCCGGAATTCTTGGCATGCATTTCCACTCTGCATTTAGCAGTCAACTACTTTCTTGAAAAAGTGTCAGTAACGGGCACCTATAGTGACTTTTACTGACTGTTTCTTGGCAGACCATTTGCTGGTCCTGTAGGAGATAAATCTGTGTTTTTTCATTTTCCAGGTCTGATGTTTGGCGGTTCCCGTGTGATCCCAGCCAGTATGAAGCTCACATTCCAGCGGCAGGTCTCGGACTGTACATATCTACTGTGATGGCGAAGTCCGGCCATTGTTACCTTGCTTAGATCTTGTTTTTGATATGTAGAGGAAATAAAAGTATCCCAATGGGAAGGGATATATTCTCTATACACCGACTCTCGTCTGCTTTCTGATTGGGTCATTGTTCATAGATGAAGTATTTGTAAGCTCAGTCTACACTAAAGTTGTTCTAGCAAAGTGTATCCATTGAACAGGTATGTCATTTATTTGAAAACTCACGTGATGTTACTAGCGGTCACATGACTGCTTTCCTCCTGCTCATAGGATTGTGGGCAGAGTCTCTGAATGGTACCTTGCTCAGTTGGATTTCAGTTCAGCAGAGACACTGTGTTGTCATCCCAAACAGGAAATTTGGCAGAAGACAGCCCACATCCCTCTCTGCTCGTGCAGTGATCACACTACATGAGCAGAGCCTGCAGGGTTAATAACTCCCCCTCTGCTCTGAGCATGGACTGCAGAGAAATCTGGGACATGCAGCTCCAGCTCTCATGTTCTCTGTGCTGTGTCTGTCAGGCACAGCAGGACAGACGTACTCCTAGCAGCCTCAGCTCCATTTTTAGGTTTAGATGAGTGGTGCAAGCATGGTGCCAATTCCTCCCATTCTTCAGGAAATCAGTAAGAATGGAGCTGTGCTTTGGTTAAAGCTGAGCTCCACCCAAAAGGGGAAATTCCGTTTTAACCACTTGAGCTCCTGAGGATTTACCCCCCTTAATGACCAGGCTTTTTTTTTGCTGTTTGGCGCTGCACTAATTCAACTGATAATTGCGCGGTCATGCAATGCTGCACCAAACGAAATTTATGTCCTTTTTTTTCACACAAATAGTTTCTTTTGATGGTATTTTATCACCTGTGCGCTTTTTATTTTTTGCGCTATAAACAAAAAAAACACAAATTTTGAAAAAAAACAATATTTCTACTTTCAGCTATAAAAAATATATATAGTAAACTCAAAGTTAGTCATAAATTTAAGACAAAATGTATTCTGCTCCATGTTTTTGGTAAAAAAAAAAAAATCCCATGCATTAGCGGGCAAACTGGCGCTAACACTATCGGAAGTCACCAGTGACACTAATACAGTGATCAGTAAAAATCTGTTCACTGTAATCAAGGACACTGGTGACAGGGCAGTGAAGGGGTTAACTGGGGGGGGGGGGCGATCAAGGGGTTAGATGGGATTACTGGTGTACTGGAGGGCAAACTGGCGCTATCTGGGAGGGGCGCTAACACTATTGGAAGTCGCCAGCGACACTGATACAGTGATCAGTAAAAGTCGGTTCACTGATCAGTGACACTAGTGAAGGGGTTAACTAGGGGGGGGGGGGGGATGAAGGGGTTAAACGGGACTACTGGCGTATTAGTGGGCAATCTGATGCTATCTGGGAGGGGCACTAACACTATCGGAAGTCGCCAGCGACACTGATACAGTGATCAGTAAAAATCAGTTCACTGATCAGTGACACTGGTGACAGGGCAGTGAAGGGGTTAACTGGGGGGGGGGGGGGGGCGATCAGGGGGTTAAATGTGACCTAGGTGTGTTCTAACTGTGGGTATGTGCTGTTTTACTCACTTTTACTGTGTCTTCTTCTCTGTCTGGAACGGAATGTGTCCAGGCAGAGAAGAATGACATCATATCCTGTCCTGTGCAACTGTCAACACAGGATAGGACAGGGACCGATCATCTGATTTCAGCCAGACATCACTGGCTGAAATCTAATGATTGATCCCTCCGGGATCGAATGGTGTCACCCGCGGGTCGGCGGGAGCGCGCCCCCTGCCGGCGAAAACATCGGGAGCGCGGAACCAGTTTTAAAACGTGGTTTTGCGCTCCACTGCCGCCCTGCACACGTATATATACAGTGGCAGGGCAGCAAGCGGTTAAAGACTGGTCCCCAGCTCCCCATTAAGGATTGGCACCTTTGGGGAGCAGGGGGTGCGTGGGTACCAGAAATTGACAGGTATCCACTTCCGCTGCGTTCGCCTAGGCAATCGGAAGTGGAATTTGTCCTCCTACCCTCCCTCCCCGTAGTCCTCTGGGACACGCGACAGGTCCCAGAAGACTACGGGGCCCATTCAGGAAGTGCAGCGCTACTCGCGCATGCGCAGTGGGTACCCGGCTGGGAAGCTGCAAGCTGTCACAGCCGGGTGCCCACACTGAAGATGCCGGAGCCTGGAACAACAGACGGCTGGTTAAACGGGCTGCGGGGAAGACATCGTGGGACAGGTGTGAGTGGCTGTTTTTGTTTTTTTTTTTAAGTCAGCTGCTACAGTTTTTGTATATATAATATATAGTTTGGGGGGTCTAACTAATTTTCTAACAAAAAACATTTATTATTATACAGGATTTATATAGCGCCAACGGTTTTGCTCAGCGCTGTACAATATAACGGCAGACAATACAGTTCAATACCAGAGGGATAGGAGGGCCTGATCCTGGGAGCTTACAATCTAGGATTTTTACATGTAAACAAAAGGGTAGAAAAAAGCGGTCACACGGTTATCGAAAAAAATAAAACGTTTTCAGTGACCAATATTTCTTCATAAATCTTCATAAATCTTGGCCAAAATGTATTCCGTTCTCTTTTTAGTACAAAAAAAAATAACCCAAATTAGTTTATAACCAAAAATTATAATTTTTTTTTTAAACATTTTTTTTTTTATATTTGTTTTTTTTCATACTGTCACCCTAGAAGTACAGTGTCACCATAGTCCTCATGCATGCGGGATGTTTTTACAGCGGCTGTTTTTTGGCTTTTGATGGTTTTTTTTTTTTTCTACAGCCAGTAAACCCCCCCCAGCATGTTATCCTATGTGTCCATACGCACATAGACTGGAATCAACGTTTTTTGGCTGGAAAAAAACCCCAGAACTAGTGGGCTTCTAGAGGCGTTTTTTTTAGCTGTAAATAACTCTGAAAAATGCGGTAAAGCACCTCAAACTGGCGTTTTTGGAAAACCAAAAACGCTAAAAAAAAAAAGCTGAAAAACTCCTTTTTATGTGACTTTACACAGCTAACATTACCAGCGTTATCAATACACCCTGTGTGCGTGGAGACTTACCACTACTTTACCACTTCACTTACTGTCCGGCCGTTGTATATAAACGGCTGGACAGTAGCAGTGCAGGGGCGGGTGGACGTTTATAAATGGCCCCCTGCTTGTGCCCACTCCCTGGGAGCGCGCGCAGCACCACAATCCGGTACCCGCTGTGTCCTCTGGACACTGGAACACTGATCGTCGTACGGGACCTCTGTGCGAGGTCCCGATCATGTGATCACGGATTGGCCAATAAGTGATCACATGCAGAGTAGCAAGCAAGGTCCCGATCATGTGATCACTGATTGGCCAATCAGTGATCACATGCAGAGTAGCAAGCAAGGTCCCGATCATGTGATCACTGATTGGCCAATCGGTGATCACATGCAGAGTAGTAAGCAAGATGTCACTTCTGACATCATTGCTTACTACGTGTGAAATCTGTGAATGATCAGAGGTCACATGGTACAAGGCTATTTACAACAGCCTTGTACCATGTGACAAGCTGTGACCAATCAGAGTAGTAAGCAAGATGTCACTTCTGACATCATTGCTTACTACGTGTGAAATCTGTGAATGACCACAGAGGTCACATGGTACAGGGCTATTCACAACAGCCTTGTACCATGTGACAAGCTGTGACCAATCAGAGTAGTAAGCAAGATGTCACTTCTGACATATTGCTTACTACGTGTGAAATCTGTGAATGATCACAGAGGTCACATGGTACAAGGCCATTCACAACAGCCTTGTACCATGTGACAAGCTGTGACCAAGCACAGCTCACACAGTAGTTCTCAATGGCTGCAAGAAATGCAGCCAGAGAGGAGAAATCATTGCTTTTACACCCATAAAGAATGTAAAAGCAATCAGTGTAAAAAAATCATCACCCCCCCCCCCCCCCCCCCCAAGTAGTACAGTGTCACCATGGCGACACTGTACTGCTAGGGTGACAGTATGTAAAGAAATGTTTAAAAAAATTAATTTTTGGTTATAAAACTAATTTGGGTTTTTTTTTTTTTTGTACTAAAAAGATAACGGAATACATTTTGGCCAAGATTTAAGAAGAAATATTATTTATTTGCCAAATGTTATAAGAAAAACTTTTTTTTCTAAATTTTTTTACTTTCATTTACATAGCAAAAAAAAAAAAAAAAAAAATCCCAGCGGTGAATAAATACCACCAAAATAAAGCTTTATTTGTCTAAAAAAAAAAAAAAAAAAAAACCCTTACCCCTTAACCACTTCCAGACCGGACACTTTCACCCCTTCCTGTCCCGGGCCAATTTTTAGCTCTCAGCGCTATCACACTTTGAATGGCAATTGCAAGGTCATGCAATACTGTACCCAATGAATTTTTTACCTTTTTTTTTTTTTTTTTTTTTTTTTTTTTTTTTAGACAAAGCTTTATTTTGATGGTATTTAAAAAAAAAAAAAAAAAAGGTAAAAAATTCATATGGGTACAGTATTGCATGACCTTGCAATTGCCATTCAAAGTGTGATAGCGCTGAGAGCTGAAAATTGGCCTGGACAGGAAGGGGGTGAAAGTGTCCGGACTGGAAGTGGTTAAGGGGTAAGGGTTTTTTTTTTTTTTTTTTTTTTTTTTTTTAAATGGTTGAACTGGATGGACCTTTTGCCTTTTTTCAGCCAGACTAACTATGTAAGTAAACTAAAGCCTTTGCGAGGGTTTCATCTGCCAGAGATGACACAGGACAGGGGCACCATTAAATACTTTATTTAAATATATTGCATTAGATTGGGCACTGCAAAGTACATAAAAACACCAGGACAATATTAAAATTCTTCACAAGATTGTCTGTGAATCTCTTATTTACAACGTGGAGATAAAATCACTCGAAAAGGAGCCGTCAATATATCAAACTTAGAAACAGGAAAGAGTATCAGACAAAACGTTTCAAAAACAAAAGCGTTTTCCAAAGTGGGATTGAGGAGTTCACAGAGCTGGAGGCTATAGAAAACGTTTGTGAGGTCCAAGACTGCTCTCTATAAAAACACAGTTTAGAGTCGGATTCATGAGACTAAAGTGCGCGCTTCTACGTCCGTCGCTGGAGGCCGACTCCACCCAAAATTATACTTCACTTTAATTGGCTGGATAACTGGATCCAGAGTTGAAATTTCCCCACCGCCACTCACAGTTCTCTCCAATTGCAAAGGCCAAATGATAGTCTGGTTCTTCTCCAATGGGTGATCCAACTCTGAGTGGTAATAATGAGGTCACAGAATTGGGGTTTACAAAAGATAGAAGAATTGGCTGCTTCAACCTGAAACTGACCTAGTCAGCCCACCTACAGTTTGAAGAGACCCTGTCACAAACTTGAAAAATGTCAGCTACAAGAAAACAAGTGGTTCAAAGCAGAACTACAGGCAACCATTCTTTGTTTTGGGTAGAGCAAGTGAGGGTTATAACCTCAGTTTATTGTCCCATTTGGGGAGATTTTCCTTCACTTCCTGTCCCATCGCCAACACAGGAAGTGAGAAATAATCCCAGGAAAACAAGGGAATTCATTGGGGACCCTCCAGGTCACCAGAACTAATGTCCCCCATTGGAAAATTTCCCCTCTATTTACTGGGGACAGCCCAAAATTTGGGGTATTCTTTACTTTCAATGAGAAAGGTAAACAGGACAAATAAGAGGAATCTCCCTTATGGGGGGGCAATAAAAACTGACAGGGGAGTCCAGGGGCGGACTGACAACTCATGGGGCCCCCAGGCAATAGGGGATCATGGGGCCCCTGTGTACTTTCCCAAACTCAAAAAAGCCTATGAAAAAGGTACCAGGGGCATCTCATGGGGCCCCTTACTGACCCCGGGCAGTGTCCAAGTTTCCAAATGGTCAGTCTGCCCCTGGGGGGGGTCTAAGCCCTCCCCACTCTATCCAAAACGTAAAAAAGTTTGGCCTTTAGAGCCCATTCACACTTGTGCGACTTGTTAAGAGACTTTGGGGTTCAAAGTCGCACCCCATGTTTCCCAATGGGTACCATTCATATCTGAGCAACTCAAAATTAGTTCCTCCACTACTGTGGTCCAACTTGAGTGTCATAGACTTCAATGGAAACCCTCCAAAGTCGCACCTGAATGTTATAAATGCGACTGTACAGCACACACAATCATCCTCAGTCAAAGCCAAAATGCAAGAGTACAATCCAATCGCCCACGTTCCTTCGTTAAAAATGGCGGTGTGTATAAGTGGGTGTTGCAGTGACCATCGGCTGGACCTGAAAAGAATCGGCAAGGGAAAATGTCACCAGCACCCCGAGGATCACCACTGTGGACCCATATTGGTGATCCTCGGTGTGCTGGTGACATTCCCCCTTCGTCAAAGTTGCCTGACAATCGCACGATTTTGAAGTCACACAAGTGTGAATGGAGCCTAACATTTTCAGTGTTTTGTAGCAGCTGGTTTCCATTCCTCCACTACTTCGGTCCGACTTTTGTGCAACTTGAGGGTCATAGACTTCAAAGTAGTGGAGGAATGGAAACCAGCTGCTACAAAACACTGAAAATGTTAGGCTCCATTCACACTTGTGTGACTTCAAAATCGTGCGATTGTCAGGCAACTTTGACGAAGGGGGAATGTCACCAGCACACCGAGGATCACCAACATGGGTCCATAGTGGTGATCCTTGGTGTGCTGGTGACCTTCTCTCTTGCTGATTCTTTTCGGTTCCAAGCGCTGGTCACTGCAACACCCACTTATACACACCGCCATTGTTAACGAAGGAACGTGGGCGTTGGGATTGTACTCTTGCATTTTGGCTTTGATTGAGGATGATTGTGTGTGCTGTACAGTCGCATTTATAACATTCAGGTGCGACTTTGGAGGGTTTTCATTGAAGTCTATGACACTCAAGTTGCACAAAAGTCGGACCAATGTAAACCCTCCAAAGCCGCACCTGAATGTTATACGTGCGACTGCGTAAAGTACACACAATCATCCTTGGTCAAAGCTAGTCGCATGAAAATCGCATGATTTTGAAGTCGCGCAAGTGTGAATGGAGCCTAATAATTTCAATGTTTTGTAGCAGCTGGTTTCCATTCCTCCACTACTTCGGTCTGACTTTTGTGCGACTTTGAGGGTCATAGACTTCAATGTAAACACACCAAAGTCCCACCTGAATGTTGTACATGCAACTGAGTACAGTACACACAATCATCCTTGGTCAAATCCAAAATCGTATAAAAATCGCACAATTTTGAAGTCGCACAAGTGCAAATGGAGCCTAATACTTTCAATGTTTTCTAGCAGCTGGTTTCTGTTTCTCCACTACTTTGCTGCGACTTGAGGGTGCTGACAGCACGCAAATATGAGGCCTCTCAGTGGCTGGGCCTTGACGCATATTTGCGTACCCGATGCTCTGCACGCTCCCGGCACATTTACCGGAGCCTCGTGGAAAGGTCCCGATAGCTACTTGCGATCCGGAGCTTTCCGATCAGATGACAGCCAATCACAGTAGTCACATGACCCTGCCTCCCAGCATCACAAACCCCTTAAAGGGCCGGGAGGCGCTGGCACCAAGGGGTTAAGGTGACTACTCTCTTTAGCAGACCCCTCTCCTTGCAGATCATAGGCCTCGCCTCTTCTGGGAGGGTCTAATTACTCTCTGTGCTGGTCCAGCTCCACACCCCTCCCCCTACATAACCTTTATGTAGCTGCAAGAGGAAGATTGAAGGGGAATATACAGCATGTCACTTAAGTTTCCTGGGGCTGCTGACATCCAAGATGGCGACTCTCAGCTGCGGTCTCGGGTTCCGGATGCCAAGACACGGGAGGCTTTTACAGGGAAAACACACGCATGACATGTTCAAAAGCACATATAATCCTGAAGGAACATTGTTTTGAATTGATTGGTTTGGTAACAGGTGAAGGGCAGCTGCGACTTTCCATGTATGATGAACGTATAGAGCGGGGCTCAGGAGCGAGTACACACCAGTGCCCCCATTAGCAAGCAGCTCGCTATTGGGAGTACTGGTCAAGGGGGGGGAAGGGGGGGACCGGAGGGGGGTTGTCTTTTTCTTGTTGCTAGAGAGATTATAAACACATCAGAAACACGTTTTTTGCTACACTAGAGTTCAATGGAGAAGCTGCTGAAATGCATGGTAGTGCGCTTGTGCGCGTTTTGCATTTTTCTGCCCAGCAACAAAAAAAAATTACACTTGAACCAAGAAAAAAAAAAAAAAAAAAAAAATCTGAATCGCACTACAGTCCATTTACCATGGTTTCCTATGGGTCATGTTCACATCTGTGCTTTTTTGAGCTGCTGCGTTTTTGGAAAGGGTCAGGACTTTTTTTTCAAACCAAAAGCAGTGGTTTTTGATACAATGGAGAAGCTGCTGAAATGCATGGTAGTGCGTTTTTGCCGCGTTTTTACGTTTTCCATTTTTATTCTGCCCAGCAACCAAAAAAAAAAAAAAAAGCTGAATCACACTACAGTCCATTTACCATGGTTTCCTATGGGACATGTTCACATCTCGGCTTTTTTGAGCTGCTGCAGATTTGGAAAGGTTCGGGGACTTTTTTCAAAGCAAAAAGCAGCGGTTTTTGCTACAATAGAGTTCAATGGAGAAGCTGCTGAAATGCATGGTAGTGCGATTTTGCCGCGTTTTGC